AGTAATATGGTCTTTACTTTTACAAGAATTGAGTCGAATTTATCAAATTGACCGTACATCACGTGAGTTTTCAATATAATCTAACGATTTATCTTTGTTTCTCGTAAATGTAATATGCTAGTTCATATGACGTGTGATATATTGACGCTTATATGGTTGTATGCAATAATAATATAAAACGCGATATTATATTAATGAAAAATGAAAGCTCCTATTTGCACGCGACAGTGATCAGTGGAACGAGAGTTTGAGAAATGAAAATGTCACGCTAATTGTGAATTGGCGCTAATTGACCTGTACGTCATTGTACGATGTATACGGTGATCTCACTTGTGATTCTATTTGATATTTAAAGCGTCATTAGGACAGCAATCTCCAGTTTGATGAAAAGATAATATTTAAAAGCCTGTTTAATATAAAGCTAGAATATTGCTGCACTATTTGTTCATTGAATTTCACAGTTTATTAGTTACCTGGTCAATTACTCTTTTGTATAAAAGGGGCAATTAAAGTTAAACAAACAACTCATTAAACGGTTCATTCTTTACGTAACTGCATCATCTATAATTTGACTGCACGGAAATAGAATAAATACGATGCGCATTGCTGTTCATAAATTTTCAATATGTTGCCATCAATTTCATGTTTTTCAAGACGCACTTCCATGCTCTATGAAATATTCAAATGCACAGGAAAAAAATTTTAGAATTGTTTTCAAATATTAAATTGTCGCGTGTAACGATTTCTGCTGTGATAAAGGTCGAAAATATTCCCACAATATATTCTTGGCAATTTTTATCTCGCCAGGAAGGCAATATTTTTCTTCTCCTTTGTACGTAACGTTGTTTTCTGTCTTTCAAAAAATGAAATCGTACCGCTCTAGATTAATCGTTCTTGTGCAGCAGTTGCGGCAAAGAATACCGTATATCGTAAGGAGAGAGAAAAATATGATCCTCCACCATCGCGGCGAGCGACTTAGATTAATCGGCAAAATATTGATATAATTAATTACGTACAATTAGCACGAAACTTCGCTAATGCGGACTCCTTCCTGCTTGCTATTCTGTTAGACATTTGGTGCGCCATTTGGGTGAGAAATGATCTTGAGGAATTATCTCGAATACTGCAATATGTATCCAAAGTAGGTCTCTAATATTTAGTTTTAAGTTTAAAAAATAATAAATATAGTCCCAACAATTCTTAATTGTCTAAAGCATTTTTACATATTTACAATATCTTGAGTTAAAAGGATTTTATTTTTCAATGAGATACGAATATAATTATAGACATGATTCAATTACATTCAATAAAAAATAAAATTTTGAGCAAACAAATTAGATACGTGACATTTCATACACGAAAATTAATTTGATACGCTTTGATAAAAGCTGTAATTGAATCGCAGTATATTAGTCGATATTTGTCTATAAATATGTAACTCTTTCTCTTCCGGCATAATAGAAATTTTAATATTATTATACAATCACAAAAGATCGTTGTATTAACTTTGTACACGCTATCCCAGATTGAATAATTAATAATTTAGTCCGAAATAATATGTGATAATTATTAACTGTATATGTGTGTCGCAGCACAAATATTTCTATATGACATATCGACAAACGTATAATTAAATAAAATGAACCTAAAAGTAAAATTTGACATATGCTAATATTTATAAACCAATGTCAAACATATTATAATTGTGAATAATTATTATTTGGATAAAAATATATCTTGCGAAAAAAAATTGTTTTCTCAAAAACTGTTAGGCATAGCAATAACATTTTTTCTTTTGATATATATTTCAAGGTTTATATAAGTTTTTATGAGTTATAAATAAAAAACGAATATTGTATTTCGATAAAACAGTGTTGTGACACTTTTATGGTATCAGTCTCTAGATATCATCTCAAACTATTGAGTGATTTTATAAAACTGTCCTTAATGAAATAATTAAAATATAATTATATATATAATCGTAATACATACATTATTTACATATTTATACATTTTTATATATTTATATATATAATATATTTTATACTAAACATATTAAACATATTCTATTAAATTAACTGAAAAAGATTCCTGCTTTACTGCATGACCGCATTCAATCGATCCTCTTCTAAAAATGCGACAAGATTGCATACATATATGAGCATTACTTTAGTTCTCTTTTCTGTTTCCGGCGATAACTTTCTGCTTTTTACATCATAAAAGCGCAAAATGAGCAAGAAGTGTAAACTGTATAATTTTTGATTAAGCAACCGTTTTTACGGAATTGTTTTTGGTTCTTTCGATGAAGAATAATATGAATCATGAATTTTTTATTAAATATTATCTAGTTATAGCTCTGCTGCACCCTTATTCCATCAAATTTTCATATAATTTTAAGGCGGAACAATGCTATTGATAAATTTTCTAGCGATATTTAATATGCAATAACATTGCCACGAAAAAAAAACATGAATTTCATCTAAAAATTTTATTTGCAACATGATTTTTTTTTGTAGATATTGTTTGCAAGTTTCGTACATGCTTTTAAAGCGAGTATTTAAATAGTGGCTAACATTGTGCAAACATGAAAATTGTGTCCTATAATATTTAGAAAATATTCTCGATTTTACAAACCCATTAATAAAACTTTCGAAAAAAAAGATGTAGAATTTTCTGCATATATATTAAGATAAGGCTAAATAATAATAAAATTATTATCTTAGAATAAGACCAAAAGATAAACACTAACAATATTAAGTTTAAAATTATAAAAAGAATTGCTTAAATTATAAAAAAATGTAAATAAAATATAAAGTTTTTTATTTAAACAAATTTTTCTTACATTTAATTACAGAGAAAAATTTTCATTTACCCTTAAGGAAAGAGTCAAGCGATAAGCCCTCTCAGGAATAACTCAATGTGCTAAATACACAGATAATAAGTGTACCCAGGAATTTGTAAAATGCCGTACATTCAGGGAATTACTAAAATTATCTTGTCAACTACTGGACTGGAGAACTGCTGCGAGTGCCGGGGCCGATTCAATTGCGCCTGAAAAAGCGAAGTGGTCTGTCGAGAACCCATTTGCACAAAATTCACCGATTGTTACCCCTACAACTTATCCTACCGTGTAATTTCGAAACATTGAAGACATTTTAAAACCTCCTTATCCTGCGATATCCTAAACGTAATAAATGAAGACTAACTTTGCCCAAGAAAATTAAATCATTTACAGATTTCCAGACAATTATTTATTTAACCATATAAATTAAAATATAAATTTTTATATAATATTTAAAGAGATAATGCATTTAATTTGTATTACTGAGTACAATTATTGAATCTCTAAGATATATAATTTTTAATTTAAAAGATGTATAAAGACGTTTTTTCAATCATAAGATTTGTTCAGCATTTTTGCGAAAGACAACATGGGAATTATTTTTGATTTGATGCAATTGTATCATAAATATTTTGCCATGCACAAGTCATTGTGTCAAGTTACAAGTTTGCTCATATAATTAAAAAATAGATAAATAATTGTCAATATACATATTTAAATGATTAGATAGAATACATTTTATGTACTTTTGAGTCAAATTAATTTTACAATATATAATTGTTCTTTACTTCAGAAAAAATATACATGTGGGTGCAATAAAGAAAAGAATGAGTTATGAAAAATAATATAAGAATAAATATAAATTTAATACCTGTTTACATATATAACCGAACCATGTATTTGTGTGTGTAATCATAAATATTATATAATTACTATGCATAGAGAATCCAATCTAAATTATTCATATGTAATTGGTATGTACACGCGCGCAATGTTCATTATTTACTCGCTTTGGATAAAAGCCAATTTAAATGGAATAGATTTGACAAAAATCAACATTGATAACAGAGAAGAGAGTCGAGATTAATTTTGCATTTGATGGGCATTCTACTAAAAAGTGTCCATGCCGCAAAAAACATTTTTTCTGATTATAACGCTGAATAAAACCGAGTATTTGTGTTCTCTCTCTGCATAAATTTAATAAAAATAATGTAATCTTCTCTCTGAAGCCGAAAAAAGGTAAAAAAACACACTAGCAACCGAATATATTTGATTTCCCTCTTCGCAATCCACTTTACCCTACGCCCTCGTACAGAAAGGCTTATCAACCCGCATGCATTCCCGAAGAGGACGGTAATGAAAATGCCTTCGGAATATTTCACGTGCCCCTTTAATACATCAAGGGATGATGCAAGGGTGGAGGGGAAAGTGAGAACGAGGGAGAAAGGAACGAAGGAAAAGCTGCTGTACAGTCGATGCCGGAACGGAGGTAAAAGGGCAGTAAAAGAATCCCTTCGTTCCATCTCTGCGTGTTACCCTCCGCGGTCTTCTCATTTATAGACCTTAATTCGTGCAACACGACACCAGCCTAGAGCTAGTCTCTTTCTATCTCGCTCCATCTCCATGAAATTGCCTTATCATTGTTACGGGCGCATTAAAAAAGGCGTTTCACGCCAGGATACGATGAAATAAACAACGAAACGTGACAATATTACTTAGCATCTAAAAATATGCACAGAATATTGGAATAATTATTGCTTACGTGGCACAATTATGAATATAATGCTGCATTAATTTTTTTTACAACAAAAGCGAAATTATTACGTTTGAAAATCGATTTTATTTACATTTTAAGTCTTCAGAAGTGATTCTTACTTTATTCCAACTATAAGCATTTTGAAAAACACTGGATATTTTTTTGAACTCAACCTTACAAAACAGACGGTGCATTAAATTGACGCTCGTCTCAAGGGTTTTCCTCGCAGATAATAAATTGCCGTCTCTCTCGCATCGTATTTTAATTATCAGGTGATCCAGGCTTGCTTAGCAATTTAAATCGCACACGTGACTACGCCCTTGACACCGCCGACGTGAAGGACCTTGGGTCAACGAAATTGGCGTGCCAGCAACACGCGACAGCGACACGCGTCCGACTTACCGTCCATCTCGGCAGCAACGGCAGTCGCGCGACGACGATCGACGATTATCCGCGACGGGACGCTCCCAGATCGCGACGGATCTTGCACGCGATCGATCCATCGAATCGCGACGTCGCGTGGACACGGTCTATGGGGTTCTGCATCCGCGTTGTCCTGGACTCGGCATATCGGAGTATACCCGATTCATCGACACCCCTCGACGCAAGTATACCGTCACTTTCGACGCAGTCACCATCCGACGATGTGTCACGCACAGACGTCGTCGACATGATGTCACGCGTACATGGCGAAGCGCTTCTCGTGTCGCGTGATCGCTAAAATCGAGCAGACTCGAGAGAGAGAAAGAGAAAGATAGAGAGGAGAGAGAGAGAGAGAGAGAAAGAGAAAGAGATAGAGAGAGAGATAGAGAGAAAGAGATGTTGGAAAAAAAAACGAAAAAGAGGGGATGCAACCACGCCACGAGGAAAGCTTGCTCGACCTCTTCAGTCTGCTATCGTTTCGATTATCCGCGTCATGTGACGGTAGTATACACAAGAAGCCGCCTTAAGCTACGCCATTCAGCGCCGGCGGATTGCCTGAGATATTTTGCGACGGCATCGGAAACCCCGACGACGTCGTATCCGATCTATGGGGCGGCATTCTGCCGGCAGAGAAGCTTATTAAATTCTCCGTGGAAACGGCACTTATGCTCCTTCCTCGGCTCTCGCGATCGTTGCTCGACTTTTCTCGTGTAGACTTAGTCTCCGCTTACGTATGCTCGATCGCACCTTAACTTCCCTCCACCATAGTTTATTCTCTGTTTTTATCCTCGCTCTCACAATTGATTCGCCTTTCTCCCGCCACTCTTTGATCCCTTTTCAATTAAGCGGTAATTACAGTTCGGCAGGTCTGAATAAACGATGACGCCGGACACCACGTTAATCCGATCCGCCGGTACTTTCGGCTAATTTGGACGCGTTGTTGCTCACGTTCGATCGACGTTAAATTTCCTGGCCGGAAATTCGGTCCTCCGCGACGATTGAAACTCAGGCGTGATGATGAAACGCGTGTACGCGCCACGCACGCTGGTTCATAAGAGCGTCACCGATCAGCGAAAGCAAACGATTATCGCAAGTCCTTGATTGATCACCGTTCAAATGTTTTCACTGTGAGATCTGAAGAGATACCAATCGATTTTTTATCTATAGTCCACTCTAAACTTGCAAAGCTTTGTTCCCGCGATTCTCTACCGGCACAAACGCGCACGTCACACGATGGAATCTCTAAAAACGATGGAGAGAGATCTTATAACATGTTTCTGGATCCCGATTGATTCGCAGGCGACAATCGTCCAGATTCCGGCTTGCAATTTATTGCACGAAAACGGTCGGCCGCCACAATGCGCTGCCTGAGATACCTGTGGATTCCGGCAAACGACGATCGAATGGTTGGCGCGATCGCCAAGTGTCAAATGTCTATCGACGTTGCCGGACGACGGCGAATCTCAACGTGGGCCAGAACTGACTGGCGGCGTCGTCCAGGAATAGCATCACATTGCCATCGCCGTTGTCATCGCCGTCGTCGTCGTCGCTTATCTCGATCGGCCAGGCAGCACTTTCGAGCCACGTCGTGAAACGTACGGCGAGCGACTGGCTGTCTGCTCGAGTTTCCACACCACCTCGAATCCCGAATGCTCGCGCGCGCTCGAGAGGGGTTGGAGGTTGGCGAGGGAGAAAGAGAGGGTGTGAGAAAGAGAGGGAGAGACCGAGAGAGGAAGAGAGAAAGCGCGAGAGGGGACTCCACCCTTTCCCTCCCTTACAAAGCCCTCTCGCGCGCACGCTGCCTGCGACCAACCCCTAATTCTCAGCCCTCCTCCATCAGTTTCTACTCCTCCTCTGTGACGGCGCTGGCCGTTCCCATTCTATTCCACTCGTTTCTTTTACTCTCTGTCCTTCTCTTTTCCTGTAGTGTCCTTTTCGCAGTCCTTTCTTGACTGTTTCGAGGTTGCGAGTCTGCTCAAATTTGTTGGCACAGATCCTGCAGGTCTCTGTTGCCTGCCGGCGGATATGACGACACTGGGCTTTGATTACAGCACGTCTGTATCATGCTATCTGATACTATTAGCGCGCAGGGAATTGCATGTTATGAGAAGAGTGCTGGTTGCCCTAATGAGTTGAACTGTTTTTTTACCGCCAGCTTTTCTTTTCTTGAAAATCAACTTAGCAGATTCTAGACAACATTGTGCAAATATTATTGTCAAAAAAAAAAACTCTTGGATAAGTATAATTATTTTAAATATTACTCTAAAATAATTTAAAAAGATAAAAGAATACTTTTGTAAAAACTTTAGTTTTCCAGTTAATAATTATTCAAATATGTCGAGTAATATGTGTATCATAAATAGTTGCGAATGTTGCTATTATTTCTGAATCATAATTTTAATGTAAATCTCATTCATAAACGTTTACTAAATTTTGATTAGTAGTGCAGATTTATAGAAATTTACTTTCTGTTTTCAAGGATTCAGAATAAAATAAAACTCAGAATAAAATAAAACTCAGAAACATTATAACATTTTTGATGCAATTATTTAAGTACTATTATTATTTATTAATTATGGTTTAGAATTCTTATAGAGAAAACGCTCAAACATAAGTGTAATAATTTCATACTTGTAATATAGTGTGAAAAATTTTGTATACATTTTAACATAAAACTAGTCCGACGAAAAATTTGTGGAAGATTTTTTATTGACACGTACATGAATATTTTACATTTGTATCTTTTGCAGACATACATATATTAGCTTATAGTATCTCAAGTCCCAAGTTTGTTAAAAAAGATCAAATCGGAAGTAATTTCAATGGTTAATTAACTTCGTATCTAAATATATTGAAATATTTTGCGTAAATATATTAGCTGGAAAATTTGATATATTGTTATGCTTTATAATTAATTATAGCTAAACTATATTTAATTTATTTTAATAATTAGCGTGTGTAATGCTCACAATATGGAAATTACATATTATTGCTATGCAGGTGCTTACCATATACAATTATTATTAATCATCCACGTTATTCTGCAAGTTACAGTTATGATAATAAAGTGTCGTAGTAGCTTAAGCTGCAGCAAAAATCAATAATCTATAGTCATATCCCCTTGATTCGCGATCGCTTGACCTATATAATTTTTTAGCCGTATAATTTTCATAATGGATGAAGTAACATCGACATGCTTGTTTTCTGAACACATCAAATTAACATTATAATCAGTCTTCGTCAGAATTACGTCAATTACAGTTAATATACTAAAATAACGAAGACGGAATATTTCCGTAATCTATGTCAGATATAGATGTATGTTGTGTGATATATAGATTATGAAAAAAAATTAACAATATGCATTTTTTTACAATACGATACACCAGAAAATATGAGCATAATTTAGTCACTTTAGCAACATTATTATTATTTGAAAAAAATGTTTTGTTATGTCTATATATGTCCATACATTATGTCTATATATATATGAGCAATATATATTTTTATTTATTATAATAGTAAACAGCATCTATTGTTATTAGAAGAAAGAAAACCAAATAATAACAATTACTTCATTAAGTTTAATAAATATTTGCAAGCTTTAAATTTATTGCTTCCCCCAATTTTTTGCTAATAGCAAACGTTTTACATGATTTCCACATTGAGAAAGAGAGAGATTGAGAAAGAAAAACAGATATACATATATTTATCTATCTTTTATATGAAAAAGTTTTTCTGTTTATGGCAGAATTAACATTTGTAATATTATATTATCATATGAATAGATATGCTCGTCATATTGAGAAGAGTGTTTAAATAATATTAGATCAAATGCTATTTTGAATTTCAAATGACACAAGTTCATAAAAGCTGTCTCATAAAAGTCAGAATCCCGCAGGTAGCTGAATCCGGCGCACAGGAGAAGGGAAACGTCGGTGGGGAAAGCAAAGAAATTTATAGTTTTCAATTTTCCGTTTGTCCGGACATGCGGGACGCAGTCGTATGCAAGCAAGGCATTCTCTCATTTAACTCGTCCAATATGACACGCTCTTTGTTCCTGAGAAAGATGAGATACGTTGTCTCTCTTTTATGAAGATTTTTTATCACCAGTAATCGATAATCCACGGATTCACGATAACGAGAAGTACGATATACGATTATACATGTCACTGCACAGTACAAGCGCAGAAAAAACATATCCGACGATCTAAATATATCTTTTTAGAGCGTAATAAACTTTTACAAATGATAGTCTAAGTCTAAAACTAATATTTTTATTTGTATCAAAATAAAAAACAATAAATGTTAATGTTAGATTTCTGTTGTGTATTTATTTATTTATCAATACACGTCGATTCATTGGATTGATTAGCGATTAATCGATTACTACAGCATGTCAAGGCAAGAATTAAATGTAATGCATGTCCATCCATAAATGGTGCAGATAAATCGGTCGAATTTGTACGATATAATTTTACGCAATTTGGCCGCTTTTGTTGGAGCGATTAGCCAATGAAGTCAATGAAACAACGATGCAATAAAACGCAAAATGTCCAATATCTTACGATTCAATCGCACGAATAAGCAGATTAATATGAAAAATCATTTATTGTCATTACGAATGAAATCAAATAGGCAAATTAACCCGTTTACTGTACAGTAATCAACATTGATGCACATTTAGCGGTACATTATCTCACACAGGAATCCTACACATTTGTGTCAACACTGATGATTGCCCATTTACATATTATTGCATACGATACGACGTATTAGATGGATTATAAATTCACTAGATCCAATTCAGAAGCATCAAATACTCATAAATTGTTTTAGAATATAATATATTATAATTAGATTTTCCTCTGAAAAAGTAATAAATAATTAAAATTAATAAATTACTGCATTAATATAAAGCAAGTGCGTGCCAATATAAGTGATGCACATTACATAAATTTAAAAGAATACAACAAATTCGTTTAAACAAATAAACAACAAATTATATCGTAACAAAACAAATACATGAAAAATTTATATAAACAAATATATACAAAATAACGAAGCAATTCGTTTCTATTTGACTTCTTTTCTTTTTATCAAATGGGCGCGGGAGAAAAATATATAATAGTATTTTAATAAAGTATATTAAGCGAGATTAGTAACAGAATGTGCTAGATATGTGTTGATTACAGCTCGACGATACTGCTTCACTCCATCTTGAGTTACTTCTCACTCCTCAAGCATAGACGGAAGTCTATTCCAAAGTTACAGTCAGGGTATGCTTCCAATCTGTTGAAAATGATCGAGTTTCAGCGTTGTATACGAACACTGGGGTAGATTGTACCAGCAATTATCCCACGATTGACCGTCTAGATTAATAAAGTTATAATTACTATATGTCGCATGTATCAACGTGGATCAGATCAAGCGCCTAGATAAACACAATTTATTTCATGCAAGTAATGCAGAAACGCTATATGTAATCGCGATGTGGTCATATTAATGCCGAAAAACCAAGCACATATGTAATTTGCATTTATTAATGGATTAAAGAAATGATAATTATGGCGATTGGTGATAATCTCGAGAGCTCTAACTTTAATAATATATATTCCTTTTAATTCATTAACATAGATATTCCGTTATAAATGCAAAGTCACTATCAACTCCATTGTACGCACACACACACATATACATTTCGATCATTGATGCATTTTACAATGCAAGTTATGAAATATTAATCATAATGCTTTCGCCTACTCGGGATTAAATTGATAGCTGATTCATATAGGGTGATCATAAGCTAGTATAAAAGATATATTTTGTTTAAAATTTTTAAGTTTAATGCAATTTAAATCTTAAATATCTCAAAATATTATATCTTGAAGTATTTTTTATCATTTATACTAAAATAGCAATATTGAATATAATTATACTTTATTTCTTTTTTATGAATGTGAATTAATGGTAATATGTGAAGAGCTTGTACGCTTATTTCTTTTTCAAAATTTCTTTATCGATTACAGCAAGAATGAGCAAAATAAATTGTTTGCACGATTTGAACGTCTAAACATTTGTATTTGATCGTTCTGTAAATATCTCTATTTTCAATTCATGACAAGCAACTCAGTTTATCCTTGTATCAACATTCCGGTTCAAATATTGACGCACTCCACCGTGCCTTGGCGCAAGTTTCTTATTACATGCGCATAATTTGCGCAAAAAATATCATCCATCATTCCCACGAACGTCGGTGCATTATCCATTGTCGACAAATTTCGAACTGAAGATGTATACGCTTTCTGGTTTAACTCTTTCAGCTTCAATATTCTTCAGTAGGAAAAAACGAAAAAAACATTCTTGTTCATGCTTCAAATATAAAATATAAAAAGAAAGATCGATGTATCTTGGTAAACCAATTTACCAACTTATTAACTGAAATTATTAGATATAAATCTCTAAGCAGATTTTATAAATGACGCGTGCTATTTACTTTTTGATCCGTATCATTACTGTAGAACATGTTTTTACGGTAAAGAATAATTTATAATATACTTCTCAGCGTTCTATAATTAAGTTTGGCTCGTCTCTCGCTCCTTGA